CATCAGCAGCATTGATAGCACGCGGCTGAAGAACACTTCACGGGGTGACAGCATGACGGTCCATCCTTCATAGTTTTCGTATTCTTCCTTCCAATGCTTTGTGACGAGAGAGATGCAGTTGGCTGTCGCAATCATTGGCAGCAGAAGGAAGGAAAAGACACGAGTGGCCTGACAGAGAGGGGAAATCTCTTGTGCGGGTAACTTGTGTGACGACAGAGAGGGGCTCTGCCGACTCCAGCAGCAAAAACCACTTTTTTTGTTTGCCTGCAAGTGAGTCTCGGAAGTAGACCTCTGCGGTGTCGCTGCAGAAATTGGCTGTGAGCGCCTGCACCGAGTGGACAATCAATGCGACAGTGAAGCCTGCTGTGTCTTTTGGTCATTATTTACCTCCTGCCAGTTGGAAATCTTGGACAGGTCACTCAAGTTATAGAAGAACAAAAGACAAGCGATGTTCGGATGCGTGTAACATCCGATATTCTCGATTTTACTCTGTGAGGAAGTCCTTCGGTCGTGTCTTCATCAGCTTGCGGAAGACGGCACAGCAGCGAAGACTGTCGAGGCCCACCGACTCAGAGTGGTCCTTCAGGAATCGCTTCGTGGAGGGCACCGCCTCCTTAAGGATCTCCAGAGAGACAGAAAGCACTATGTCTTGTTCCTCTCCTTTCAGAACCACCGCCCCAGTGTAGACAAGAAACCGCACTGATCCCGCAAACTTCGACATCAGCTGCTCAATATGACGACGTCAAGCGTATCAGAAGCGAGACCGTTGGCGGGGATAGGTTCATTGTGCGGACCATTCCGATGTTTGCATAACTTCAACGTCGGCCGGGGGGAAGTGGAGCAATATCATTGTCGACTCGTCTTGATTCTGCTGCAGACTCGCCATTTGAGACAGACCCATCGGCACCGTGCGGTGCGGGTGGCCAGGAGACATCATCGCCGTCGGCGTGTCCCTGAGACCTGCATGATGGGCAGGAAGCGCGTGACACCGTGCAGCCTCAGTCGAGCGGCTTTTCTTCTGTTCTGTCATCGTGTGTATAGGCTGCGACAGGGTGTGCAATGCAGTTTTGTCGCGCAATGCGTCAGATGCCTGTGTTCCCTTCTGTCTGTGTTTGCTGTGCCTGTCTGAAAACGTGCGACGTACGTCATATATACACACTCCGAGTCCAAAGGTGCATGCGCACACCTGCGCGCAGGTGCGCGCACAGAGACAATCATCATATACACACACTCCAAGTCGACGCGTGCATGCGCCGGAGGTGGGCGCACACAGACATTCATTATATATTCACATTCCAAGTCTGAACGTGCATGCGCAGGTGTTCGCACACAGAGAGACAAGTGAGAGTGAAGAAAGTGTGAGGATGATGGAGCAGGGATGCTCTGAATGCCGGCATGATCACTTCTATCTGAAAGCTCTGGTGCCTTCATGTGACTGAGTGACTGTACAGTAGAGTCGACATCTGAAGCTAGAAACTTGTCTATCGAGCTTCTGATGACAGCTGCGATGCTCCTTCTTCTCTTGTGGATTTGCTTGTATATGGTTGCTTCTCAGTGTGCCCGATTGTTTTGCGTCTCAAGAGGGAGGATGCGGATTGCTGTGGGCTGGTGCATCCTCAGTCATTTTTCAGTTCACTTTCGTCTTCTGGCAAACGACTTATGGCAGAAAGACCGAGGGAGAAGAGGTAGTGAAGATAATGATACATGGAGCAGGGATGCTTTGAATGCCGGCAAAATCAATCTTATCTGAAACGATTCCGTGACATCAACACATCGTTGATTTCTTAGTGGAGCTGACGAATAGACGCTGTTTTGTCAGTCTGCTTGATAATTCTCATGCAGCTGGAGCTTCGATGCATGGAGGCGGCATTTGTGCGAAGAGTGCATATGATAAGACCGTCCAAAAAAGACGAAGTGGAAAAAATGAAGCCTGTACGGATCTCAACCAATGAAATGTTTGAAATCTTTCTTCCAAGTTCAACGGAGTTTTGCAGAGCCTGGGATAGACTGCTAAAGAGCCTGCGTCAGAGACTGTTCAAGCTTTAAACTCTGCCATCACTAACACTACAAATCGCCTTTTCTCGGCCGCATTCAAGAAACGTAAAACAACACTTTTCTCGGAATGCATCCGAAAGGAGGTTTTTTGAAAGACTAGTCTCTCGCATGCATTCTCTCGGCTCCGAGAAAGTCTTTCACCCGTGATTGCGACAGCAAGATAAAACCTAAAGACCAGTGTCTGAAGGAGCCTGTTCGATGGTCCATTCCAGACTCTGAAAAGCTCTACTAACCTGCAAGATACAACTAATGCTTTTAGAAGTGTTGCTACTTTCTTAATCATAGCAAAATGAAAGCCTGCAAAAAATGTATGTGGCACAGCCTATGGAGCGCTCCAGTTCTAGATTGCTCGCGCAGTGTTCTTTCTTTCGCTATCAATTGTTTCGGTATATTATATATACACACTCGAAGTCAACACGTGTATGCGCAGGTGTGCGCACAGAGACATCCACCATATGCAGACACTTCAAGTCTAAACGTGCATGTACAGGTGCGCGCACAGAGATATTCTTAATATGCACACTCCCAACTCGACGCGTGTATGGGCAGGTGTGCGCACAGAGATATTCTTTATGTACACACACTCCAAGTCGACGCGGGTGAATGTCTGTATGCGCATACCTGCGCATGCACGTTTGGACTCGGAGTGGTTATATCTGATGAATGCTTGTGTGCGCAGTGTGCGCACACTGCCCATACACGTTTGGACTTGAAGTGTGTGTATCTGATGAATGTCTGTATGCGCAACACTGCGCATGTACGTTTGGACTTGGGGTGTGTGTATCTGATGAATGTCTGTGTGCGCACAGTGCGCATGCACGTTTGAACTTGGAGTGTGTCTATATGATGAATATCTTCATGCGCACACCTCCGCATGCACGTTTGGACTTGGACTGTGTACATGGCGCGTGCACGTTTGGACTTGGAGTGTGTGTATATGGTGAATGTCCCTATGGGTAGACGATGAATGTCCCTATGTGGACACCTGCGCATGCACGTTTGGACTTGGGGTGTGTATCTGATGAATGTCTGTGTACGCACACTGCGCCTGCACGTTTGCACTTGAAGTGTGTGTATAAGGCGCATGCACGCGTCGAGGTGCAGTGCGTCTGAGATGAATGTCTGTGTGCGCACACCGCGCATGCGCGTTTGGACGTGGAGTGTGTGTATATGGTGAATGTCCCTATGGGTACACGGTGAATGTCCCTATGTAGACACCTGCGCATGCACGTTTGCACTTGAAGTGTGTATATGGCGCATGCACGCGTCGAGGTGCAGTGCGTCTGAGATGAATGTCTGTGTGCGCACACCTGCGCATACGCGTTTGGACGTGGAGTGTGTGTATATGGTGAATGTCCCTATGGGTAGACGGTGAATGTCCCTATGTGGACACCTGCGCATGCACGTTTGGACGTGGAGTGTGTATATGGTGAATGTTCCTATGGGTACACGGTGAATGTCCCTATGTGGACACCTGTGCATGCACGTTTGCACTTGAAGTGTGTGTATATGATGAATGTGTGAGTGCGCTATCTGCGCACGCACGTCTGGACACGTCGAAAGCATCGTTACCGACATCTCACACACAATCTGTCTCTGACACAGTAGATCACATCGCAGAGCACAAAGAAGAGGCGCTGACTTTGAAAAAGGAGAAGAAGCCAGAAGGACGAGAGAAGTCAGGCGAAGCGGTCCTTTTTCAGGAAGGTATTCCACGATTTGAACGATTCAGGCCCTCGACTTTGACAAGCTTCTTAACCACCCCCATCAATGGTGCACTGAGTGTTCTCGATGCAGTCAGACCATGTATCTGTCCTCCTTTAGAAAGATGAGCACGGAGAGAAACAGAAGGTGCTTTGCTTCAAAAAGACGGCACGGATGAGAAGTGCAATGAAGATTCCAGCAACGCTCGTACGCGGCTTGAAAAAAGACAGTGGATGCAAAATTGGAGGGCGGTGAAAAAGAGGAAAACAAAGCACTCCTCTTTCCATGCTATTAACGCAACCGTACTCTTGAGAGCAGCACTGTTGAGAGGCGCAATCGACTTGAGACCATATGACTCTCGAAAAGCACTCAGTAGTACACATGCCCAATCATATGATGTCGAGAGCAAAAGAAAAGCGAGTACGTCTGGATGACTAGGAGAAAACCGCTAAGAAAAGACAGTTCTCGTCATCCTTATCTTTCATACAGTTGTTGTACTCCTTATCGCGTAGAAGACCCGTCATGCCTACATGCCGAGCGTCTACATACGTACAAGTCGGAACGACGAAGGCACATGCAGTGAGACAAAAAAAAAGGAACATTCTGTATGAACCAAGAAATCACGAAAACAGTGTAACCCCATACCACCATGCGCACTATGCGACAGAAGGAGGGAGGTCTCAAATTGACAGTAAGAAAGTACATAAGCGGCACTACAAGAAGGGGCTACTACGAAGCCTCCTTGCCAGACCTGCCCCCCTCTTGTGGAGATGCTGAAAGAGCACGATTTGTCCTGCACTTCGCGTCCGGACGCCTGAAGGACAACAGCAAGTAGCAACAGTCGGGAACGACTGGGCACTATGTCGGCAGACCACTGCTCTGTGTTCGTTTACTTATTTTGCGGCAGTATGAGACTGCTCAATGCCGGTCACACCACCAGCAAGTTCACGGGGCACTTCTGCATTATCCTTGTGAGCCACTGCTCCTTTCGGCATGTCCTCTTGGGTCCGCAAGAGTTCACGACGCGTAGAGCGGCAGCAGGCACCCGATGGTAGGCAGTAAGGAGGAGAACATCCGGAACCAGGGCAAGGGACACACTGTTGCACCGACGGCTGAAGGACGGCCAGAAGAATGACGAGAGCCAAGACGAGCTTCATCATGCTTGCGGGGTGGATGAAGAGGTGTTCGAAAGAGGTGCTTTGTGACGAAGGAATTTGTCGATCCACAGGGAGAGGAGATGGAGAATGCTTGTGATATGAGCACGATCCAACGTGCGATATCACGGGTTCCGAGACGTGGCAAGATGGGTCATCCTTCTGTCCCAGGGATCTGTCAGTGATTCTGTGTGACACCTTCGTGGAGTGGACCTCCGCATCGTCTGTCACTGTCTTTTCTGTGGTGTCCTGACATCGTTTTGTGGTGCTGATGTCGGAACCGAGTGTTTCTGCTGCGGACGTCCAAGCAGCTGCTGCTGCTGCGCGTGAGTCTATCGCGGTGGAGCGAGAGCCGCCTGCCCTGCTACAAGCCGAGAGCGTATGTGACTTGATTGGTGCTCTCGAGTCAGAGGTCGACATTCTCCGCCAGGCTGTCGAGTCGTTGGCCAAGCAGTCACCCGTCACCCACCTTCTTCCAGACTCCCCCCTCGCCAGATTCCGCTCGTCGGAGGTCACTGACGTGGTCCTCGAGGTCCTGCAGGAGCACGGCTTTGCCAGCCGCAAGCTGGAGTTCAAGGCGGAGCAGGGAGGGTAGATGACGGCGGGCAGGGCTGTGTTCGACGTGTCCAAGATCGATGAGCCGCATGCCGAGCGTCTCTTCCGCGCCATTCACGCCAGGTACGGCGACTCCATGGACGACAAGCAGGCGGCCAGGCAGTGTCGTGACGTGTGGGACAAGACCAAGGACGTGGCCGCGGCGATGAAGCGCTCTTGGCTGGACGTCTACGACAGGGCAGGGCGGTATGTGCTGTTTGGCGGGGTGATCAGGCGGCTGGGCCAGGATGTGTTTGCTGAGGTGGATCAGGACATCTTGCTGGCCCTCCTGCCTCGCCTCCTCATTCATCAGAACAGGTTCGACGAGAGAGGGCAAGCCAGGAAGGGAGGGAGTATCGCGGTGGTGGGGCTTTGGGGCCGATGTGTGCGTGTATGTGTGTGTGTGTGTGTTGGGGGGTATGTGTTTGTGGCTCCTGTTGTTTTTCCTACCTCAGTGATTTGTCATTGCCTCACAAGAGGCCGCACACGGCCTCGTCTTCGTCCGCCCAATCCTCTCTCTCCTCCACCCACGCCCCCACTGCCGGCGCCACGCCTGCTCGTCCTCAGCAGCAGCAGGCGCGTCGCGACAGAGACCGTGACTTTTGTGACAACTGCCGCTACGGCTATGATCGCGCATACCCCCACGGCCACCGCACCGGTCGCTGCCCCGACCCCTGGAAGCTCAAGTGCTTCATCTGCAAGAGGGCTGAGCGTGCTGACTGCATTCATCGCTATGACCTGTGTCCGCTCAGGCCTCGCCCGTCGTCCCAGTCCCCGCCTCCCCCTCCTTCTGCGTCGTCAGCAGGCAAGTGAGGGAGAGGCTGCCGGCCTGGCGCATTTTTTGTGAATGCGTAGCGATGTGTGTGGGCGTGTGGGTAGCGTGTGTGTGTCCTTCCATTTTTCTTGTCGTCTCTATCGGCTCGTGCTGTCTTCCCAGGTTTGTCGCAAGCGGACAGTGTCCCGCCTCTCCCCTTGCCTGCGTCGTCAGCAGGCAAGTCGTCCAACTGGTGTGGGGATTGCGTGTTCGGGCGGGGTGTTGGTGTATGTGGGGCGTCTTCGATAGTCTGCCTGCTGGCTGTCTTGTCCGTCTTGTCCTGTTTCGTTTGCTTGCTTGCGGCTCTCCTCAGATGGGTCGCGAGCGAGTGCCGTCCTCTTGTCGCTTCCTTGCGTCCCTCCCCTCCACCCGCCATCAACAGGCAAGTGTGGGTGGGGTGCGGCCTGTCGGTCAGCCTTCTGTCAGTCAGCCTTCTGTCGTTGTCTTTGTCGTTCATTCGTGTGTCGGACTCATGTCTTGCTTCTCAATGTATTTCTTGCCGGTCCCATCGCTGTCATTCTTGCCATCTTGCCTGCTTGCCATTCATTCCGGGTCTGAAGCAAGCAGGCGGCCTGTCATTCGTCTCTTATGTCCAAGGCCGCTCATCTCTTCCGTCCACCCACCCTTTCTTTGCCCGCCGCCGGTCAGTTGACGATATGCAGATCGACACACATGACGTCTCCGTGGCTTCTAAGGTGCCCATTGCTGTGCCGCCCATCTCCAGCACGGACACAGGTTAGCTGCCGCACTGGGTCAACAACCTCTTGGCTTGGGTTCGTCTGTCTTGTCTGCTCGTCCGTCTCTTCCCTCGTCGCCGTGGCTTCGTGGCCATCGTCTGCTTACGAAGGCAGCAAGACACTTGGGTGTTCCTCTTAGTGTGTGTCGGGCGTGGGCTGAGGGTGTTGATATGTTGCTTTTTCGCTCGCCGTCTCGGTTTTTCCATAGCAACCATTCCTCTGTCTATGAGTACGGTGATAAAGTAGCCAAGGTGCTAGACAAGGCAGAACAGAAAGGATACATTCAGCTAGTCGATCACCAGCCCTTCATCGTCAGTCCTCTCGGGGCTGTGCGCAAGTCGACCCCCGGCGAAGTTCGTATCATTATGGACACGTCTATTTCGGATCTCAATGACTGCCTTTTTGTGCCTGACATCGTATTGCCGTCGATTTTCGATGCAATTCGTCTTCTCAAGCCTGGTCATTACATGCGCCAGCTTGATCTTAAGGATGCTCATCAGCATATCTACATCAATCCTGCCGAGGCCGATTTGCTTGGGTTCAAGCATCCGTCTTCTGGCCGCTTTTATGTCTGGCGTTTCATGCCATTCGGCTTGAGCTCTGCTCCCTTTCTTTTTGTCAAAAGCATATCGTACTTGAGGGCAGTCCTCGTCTCTCTCGGGCTCGAGTCTCTTCTCGATGACTTTTTTGTGGAGGGCTCTTCATTCGATCGTTGCGACGGTCACATGCGTCTTGTCTCGGATGTATGTGGGCGTGTGGGGTGCGAGATTAGTAAGGACAAGGTTTTTGGGCCTTTGCGCGACCTTGAGTCGGTCGGTTGGCTCATCGACTATCTCCTGCACGCTGTCGATTATGGATAAGAAGCGTCAGAAGATGCTCTCTCGCTTGCAGCAGCTTTTGGATGTTCCGCCTTTTGGCCCTCCATTGTCGGTGGTCTTGAGTGTCATCGGCTCTCTCTCTCATCTGTGTGATATCTTGCCTGACGGTGCTTTCCATCTGCAGCCCTTGTTATCTCTCTCTGCTCAGTCTACTCCTTCTGCGTCCGTGCGGACGTCACACAAGCTGTCTGTCGCTTACAAAAATTAGCCTGTTCCATTGCCGGGTCAGGGCGACAGTTTTTGATCGCACTTGCATTGGTGGCGTGACCAACTTTCTGTTTGCCCGTTTCGTCGTCTGTTTGTCGGTGCTGACGGATTTCTTTTGTGGGATCCTCATTTAGACCCGGCTTTCGCTGTGCCGTCCATTCTTTCCCTCCCTCCACCTGCACGTATTGTTGGGTCGCCGAATACCCCAGCTATCTTCGTTCTCCTCACTGATGCCAGTGAGGAGGGTTGGAGAGCGGTTTGGGGCGAGCATGTAGCCAGAGGCAGATTTTTGGTATCCCTAGATGGAACCACTCGCCCCTCTTGCCCCGCCTTCGCCTTTGTCGTCCTTCCAGCAATTGGCGTGAGTTGGCAGCTGTTTTGTTTGCCCTTCAGCGCTGGGCTCCTTTCTGGCGGGATGGTTTAGTGGCTCTTGGGTCAGACAATAGCAATGTCGTGTCATGCATTAATAAGCGCCGCAGTTCTTTTCGCGGCATCATGCATGTCGCTCTTCTTCATTCGCATCTTCATTTCATGATGTGCATTATCTGTCGTCTTCCTTGATTTCTCACATCGCGCAAAGGCTGCGCTTGCGTTTCACTTTGCATTTCGGCTGTCTTCTCCCGTCTGACTCGCCTGTTTCCGTCGCTTGCCATCCCTGCATTCTACTGTAGACCGAGTGTCCGGCCCCATTCTTCTGACTCCCTCTACTGGTTTGACCGTCCAAGCGTTCAATTTACGTTGCTCGTCTTTGCCAAGTGTCAATTCCCGGTAGTTGTGGTCATTCATAAGCCTCTCTCTCTTACTGCCACTCGCCTTGCCCACCGCTTTTCTGAGTTGCTGCAGTGGCCGAAAGGCTCTCGTGTATTGTCATTGGCAAGGATAGCTTCTGACGGCTCTGTTGTGCATTCTTCACACTGTCAGCCAGCCAAACATTCCCTTCCGGTCTGCTTTCTTATGCCCTCGCCTTCTTAACCTTCTTCTTGGTGTGTTTGTGTCTGTGTGTGTGTTGTAGGTCTCAGGCGATGTCGGCTATTTCTCTCTCTCACCCGCCCTACCGTCCGCTCCCGACATCTTTTTGTACATTCTGCGGTGGATCGGGCTTTATGTCTGTTGCCCCGTATCCATCTCCTCCCTTACTCGCACATGCACGCGTTGCTTGTATATGCCAATCGTCGGGCGTTTATGCGAGGATTGCGTCGTGTCTCTGACAATACTTACTGTGGTAAGCTCCCTATCCCACCCGTCGGTTGGCGTCTGGACGTGCGTATGTGGCTATGTGTGTATCTGCAGACGTCAGTCAATGTGCGGGTTATTCAGATGAGGGCAGTATGACCATTCAATTTTCCCTGGACAACACACATCTCATGAGGTCGGCAAAAAGCACCCTGACTCATGCCATCCATCGCGGTGCATTGCTGTCTCCTACTCAGGAGGGCCACAGGGACGCTTCCGCTGAAGGTTGCAGCAAAGTGATGGAGCGCACGTACGCAGCGTCAGCTCGTTGTGCAGAGGCCTTCGAGCTGCTTGGGGGTTACTGCAGCCTGATGGCCGTGATGCCCTTTGGTCAGGCCGCCAAGTACATCATCACGGTCGTGGAGGCGCACCTGGACAAGTAAGCACCACACACACACACACTGCATCACCAAGATGTGTATCACTTGTAGGCCGTGTGCCTTAGGTTCCCGATGCGTTCACTTAATCCCGACGGCGCCGTCCAAGTGGGCCGCCTTCGCCAAACGCCTTCCACACTCTAGTGCAAAGACAGATGCATACACACAGTCACACATACATGCTCACTGGGGCGAGCCTTTTTTCTCGTTTTGCTGCGCATGTGTGCACCTATGCCAAGCGTGGATCATCTGATCGTGTCAGTTTTGCGTGGATGTATGCATGAGTGTCGTCGCCGATTTTCCGCAGTCCTGTCGAGCGTGTCATTCCACTTCTAGTTCTGTCTGCATCCATGTATACATGAAGCTGGCTTTTCTCCATTGCATGTAGGAGGGAGAGTGCACATCAGAGCGCTCGTTTCGTGTGCATGCACCCTCTCACACGTGCATACGTTTTTTCTTCATGCCATCTTTTTTCGATGCCGTCCGATAGATAGAGCCGTCAGTCAGTGCCATCCTGTGTCGTCCTCTTTGTATCAGCTAGGGCTGTGAGAGAGAGAGTAACTGCTTCCTTCTTTTGCATCAGTCAGTCGCTAGGTCAGTCGCCGTTCACCACACACCTCTTACATGCACGATGCCACGCTTGATGCACATGCATGCACGCATAGATTATCTACGCACACGTGCACACACACGCACATGCTTACTGGGGCGAATCCTTCTCTCTCGCCTCGGTGCACATGTGTCATCATGTGTGTGCGCATGTGTGCCATCTGCATCTATGTATGTATGCTTGTTGAGCGAGCCAGGCCACTCTCTGCGTGGCGGTGTTGTGTGGGATGTCCTCTGTGTGAGAGTCCACAGCGCGTGCGTGTCACATTACTTCTGTCTGCATGCATTCATAGGTGAGACTGGCTATTTTACATTCCATCGTATTGCTGAGCTGGCATGATGCGTATGCCCAAGTGTGTGTCGATAGTCAAGACAGACAGGTGGATGAATTGTGATGCATGCATGCGTGTTTACGATGACTGGACGGGTGGGTGGGTGGCCTTGCGCATTGGCTGGCAACACATTACATGACTGCCACGCGCGTGTTTGCATTGCAATGAAGTAAATCAATGAAGTTGGTTGACTTGTTGATTGACTAGTCCGAGTTGACCATCTAAGTACACAATCGTGCAACATTCATGCATGAATTGAGGTGCTTCATCAACAGAGAAAGTTATACACGAAAGGCCACACCAGACTCAGCCTTACTACACACACAAAAGACTCATCAGATCCGGCCACAGACGCAGCATCAGGCGCTCATCTGATCTGCCTGCCCTTCACATCACACTGAGCACCTCCACTTCATCAGCCATGAAATACTGACTGCCCCTAAACAGAGCACGGCCATCCCCATCCCTCACCCCCACACAGGCCAAAGGCACATCGCGGCTGGAGATGTACTGAAAGCAGCTACGCAAATCAGCAGCAGGGCTGCCCTCGTTGCCCAAAGACAACCACTCGATCATCAGCTTCTCCCGCCCCCCAGGCACTGTCCCGTCCGCCCAGTCACAGACACTGACTGGATACCTGCCGCCATCTGCCTCCTCCCGCGCAGCTACAGACACGAACTGCCTGCCTTCCATCATCTTGGTCGGTTTGTCGAAGTAGCGGTGAGGGAGAACTGCCACACATCACAGCAGTATGTATTCACTCTTCTTGGGTCATCTGGCAGCTCGATGCCGTCACTCATGTAAGCGCCGAACACCTAGCCGCCCTTCTTGATGGCAAATACCAGGCCACGGGCATCGCCCACACACCGCAGCATATCAGCATACGATGGTCCATTACGAGATGCTCTGCAGAGAGAAGAGATTGACAGATATACCACGCATCAAAGGCAAGTGTACCTGTAGATGAGCTTCAGTCTGATATTTGCGACTGTCAGTCCAAGGAAGCGATAGAGTGCAGCGGATTTGACGGGATCCAACGTTGAATCCTCGATCACCTGCGATGACAGACAACGATAGAGAGCATAGGTAGAATACTGATGCTTCTTCGTCTTGCTGATGTGTGTGTCACCTTTAGCGACCGAAGTGAGCGGCCGTCGACACGAATAACCTCCACTTCATCAGCCATAAAGTCCCAACTGCCCCCAAAGAGAGCATGGCCATCCCTACGCCTCACTCCCTCATAGCCCTCAGGCAATTCATCTCTGTCGATGTACTGAACGCAGTTGCCCATGTCACCGGCAGGGCCACCCCCATGGCCTAACCACAAGCACCCACCGATCAGCACCTTCGCCCCCCCATGCACTATCCCCTCCCGGCCAGCCACATACACTGATTCCCGGACTTTCATCATCTTGGTCGCTTTGTCGAAGTGGCCGGCCAGCGAGAAACGCCACAGACCACACTGGTAGCTGTCGTAGCTTGTTGGATCGTCGGGCAGTTCGATGCGGTCGTTGAAGTAGGCGCCTCGCCCTCACCCTTTCGCCTCTCAAATTCATCCACCAATTGCAGCCGCTCGCCGATTGTCACCTCGCCTGCATTCTTGGTGGTCACCCGACGACAGACAGACCAGAGCATTCTACCTGTCTTGAAGTGAATACATTCCCTCTACCTGTGCGGCTTGTGGTGTCGTATGTCTTGCTTCGGGCAGGGAGGGCGGGAGGGACTCCGCGCGATACCGTGCGAGTCGCCGTCGACGCAGAAAGGGGCGACTGGTTCACCCACGCTGATCGCCGGCCGACCCATAGCTATCAGTGGATGTTTCAAAAAGGCCGACTCAGGGTCATCTGAAGCCGCTACACAATCGACATACAATTGCATCTTTGTCTGCACGGCTCTCGGCATGTGTTGTTTTTCCGCTCACGGGCAGACGATGACTGTTGGCGAGCGCCGCCCTCCGAACCGACGGGCGGCTCGACTCCCGCTGTCCGTATCTGCAGGACACAACGGACACAGTGATGTTAGATTAGCGCTCATTGGATGTCGTGTACACGCCGTATCCCTGTGGTGCATGTGATGGTCTTGTTTGAGGGCCCCATCTCGTTGGGGACGTAAGGGATGTGAAACATCGACCATCCGTCAAGATACGCCCGGACACTGCAACCTGGATTGTAATGGTGACTTCGCTTGTGTTGCTCGAGAGCTGGCGGCCGAAATGACAGTGCGTCTGGTGTCACGCCGGCGGGCCGGAAGGCCATCTGCCAGCCACGGCCGAGAGTGCGCTTCACACATGATGCTTCGATCCACGCGTTACGGTGCTCAGCTGGGGCTTGCGGCTGAAAGCGGCTGCAGTCGAGATGGAGGTCGTCCCAGTGTTCGCTGAGGATTTAGAGAAACGCCTCTCCCATGGGCACAGCGGCCTCGTGGGCTCGCTCGTGCAGCGGTTGGCTGACAAGACCCTGCATGACAGCACAGACATGCATGCAGAGGGAGCCCACTGGCCCGTCTTGGCATCTTACCGCCCGATTGGCACTCTTTGCTTCATTCGATGGAGGGCCCAGAGGTTCAGCTGCACTGAAGTAGTGTGTAGCGGCGGCAGCCTCCTCGTCGGTGCCGACCGAGGAGGATGCGTGCGCAGGCGGGGGAGGCAGGGGCCTGGGCGGGGGATAGGG